TGCACTAATCTGGACTATTTTTGTCGTCTTTGTCCCACATTCAAAGTGAGGAGGGGGGGGTGTGCTTAAGATAAAATACACATTGCAGTTCCTTTAACCTCTTGTTTACAGAAAAGCTACTCCTTTAAAATCTCACGTGGGATACTCCATGTTCATGTCCATAAAGGACCGTACATTACTGCAAAAAATTAACGAGACACTTCAGGCTAACCACACTAATGAAGATGAGGCAGGAGGAGCTGGAGCTTGAGGCCAGCCTGGGCTACATAATTAGTTCAAGGTTGGACTGGGCTATACAGTTACTTACATTCTATCACAAAATTGGGAAAAAAAGGCACAGAAATTAAAACATGATTTTTGTTTCATTTTTAAAAATATGTAAATATGGTTAATATAAAACAATACAGGTCCTCAGAATAATTTTTTTGTAGGGATTTCTTGCCATCATAAAATTTGGTTTGAAAATAACAGGTCCACGATGTCGCACTATGTACTCACTCAGTCCACACTTCTTACACATGTGCCAGTTGCCAGCACTTTACCACATGTGGCAAGAAAGGGAAAGAAGGATGGGAGAGGAGAAAGTGGTGGCATGGCTGGTGGGCACAGCACAAGGGAATGGGAAGGCACAATCACTGCACGTAACATTTCACTGCAGTGAAAAAAACAAAACTCTTAGATACGTATCAAATGGAAGAGCAGAGGGCCTGGATCTGTGTTGTGTCCTAGGAGGGAGAGGCCTCTTCAGTGTGAGTGTGACCACTGCTGCCCTCTGGTTACTAAGCGGCAGGATGCTGTCTGCTCGCCACGTGCTTGCTATATCTTCATCTAGCAGGTTCTGAATCACTAGCCTTATTGCATAAGGCTCCTGCTATGGGATTATCTGAATTATATCACCAATTCACACTTTGGGACTCACGTCTGTACAGGGCAACACTAAATCTATTAATACCTGACATCTCCCCTCTGCATGCAGAAGGCAAGTAGTACATGGAACTAAAATCACCTTAACAAGTACACCAAAGTCATCATAAAGTACTATTCACTCTAAGTTCTCTGTGCAGAGCTAGGAATTCGGTTCTGGGTCTTGCACACACTGGGCAAGTGCTCTACTACTAAGCTATGCCCTAGCTTTATAACTGCTAATATGTTTTTCTTTTAAGTAGTTAAGTTGCCCAGGTAGCCAGATTTCTGTTATTATTCTAGCTCTTCTTGATTTTTGTATTATACAACCTTTTGATTAAGCAACTAATTAGACAAAACCTTTTATAACTCAACTGGGAGGGGATAAAAAATTAAGAGGATTTCATTGTACACTGTGGTACATGAAACACTCAGATATTCTCATGTAAACCCCACTGTGCCTGGGAGCTGAATGGAGTCCCCAGGATCATCCAAGGCTCTCTACCACACTGTAATCTCTACGACTAGGTGGGAGACTTAAATCGCTCTTCAGTATAAACTAATTAATACAAATCCAGAAAAAAATGCCCAGTCAGAGGTAATATGTCATAATAAAGTAATGACTACCATGAGCCTAGAGGGCCAGGAACTTAAGTTTCCTACTACAGAAAGAGGTTAGAGACATTAAGCATTCAGGCCACATAAGCAATGGTACACATCACAAGCAATGCCCCAGGACACATCAGCGCTCGGTGTCCTTCCCAGAGCCTGGAAAGTAGGCTACAATGACTGAGGAGGCGGGGAAGCTGGCTGTTTCTGCTTTGCTTTAGATAATTTTTTTTTTGTGTTTTCTACATGTGGTTATTAGGACAGAGAAAAACTCTTTAAAAAAATTTTAAAAATTCGCTTTATTTAGGGCGTGTTTGTGGGTGCATAGGTACTATGGGGAGTTGGTTCTCTCCTTCCACTTTGTAGGTCCCAGAGATAAAATCCTCCAGCCAGGAGCCATGGAAGTACCTTTACCTACAGAACCATCTCACCAACTCAGAACAGAGTAATTCTTAAAAGAAGTTGATTAGTTAAAAATACATACAATTTTATGTTATTAAATAAAGCATATATACATATTGAAACATCACATGATACCTAATACATATGTACAAATTTATGTGTGAACTAAAAACATAAAAACTATGGGGTAATATGTGATGTTATCATACATTATATACATCTAATGCTCAAGTGGGGATAAACGTGTCTCCTGCAACATTTATTTTATTTTACTTTTTGGTAAAAATATCCAGAATCCCTACCTCTAGCATTTTTGGAATTATGCTAAAATTAATATTGACATCTTACTATACTATAATACAGAATGTGGTATATTTATTTCTCAAATGATAACCTCTCTAGATACAGTAGCCTTTCTATGATGTAAGTAACAACAGAGGTGAGGGGAGGGAAGAGGAGGGAGGAAGAGGTGGGAGCAGAAAAGGAGAAAGTGTTACGTAACAGCAGATTTTTTTTTTTCCTCCTACAAATCTCCAATCACAGGGTCAGCTGCTCCGAATGGCTTCCGCCTTGCTGAATGCTTTCACCTCACCAAAGGTAACCGGTGTCTTGGATTCACCCCCAAAGAAGGGCTGACAGCTGCACACAGCACCAGGCAGCATTACATAACAGGAGCTCAAGAGGCAACCTGTGATGAGGCTATGGCGATGGCGACCTTACTAGGGAGGTACTAGAGAGACAGAGAGAGAGAGAGAGAGAGAGAGAGAGAGAGAGAGAGAGAGAGAGAGAGAGAGAGAGAGAGAGAGAGAGAGAGAGAGAGAGGCGAGCGAGATAGCTACCGGCAGGTCACATGACTGACAATCATCATGGAAACACTCCAGCTTTCCCACAGCAGACCTGACTGCATATGTGGACAAGCAGTGCCCTTCTAAGCCAGCATCTGTGTGGGAGTGAACTCCTGCTGGGGGCTGGAATCCTTTCAGGGATATTCTCTGAAGTCAACTATGACCCTTTCTCTTTTCTTTTTTTAAAATAATGTTACTCCACAGGCACATTTTAAAAATAATAGAGCTATTTATAACAGGAAGAGTTGGATTCTGAGACTCCTGACCTTAGAGATTTTAAACACTGAGTGCCATGTTTCCCTGTCTCCCAGGAGGCTCTTCTAGACGAAGGACAGTGTTGGAGAGCAAGTCTCAGCTGGGCCTCAGCTTCTGCTCCAGAGAGAGAAGTACCCATGTTTTATGTGTTTAAAACAGAAAAAAAAAAAAAAAAAAACCAAATAAAGAAAAAGAAGGACACTGAGGGTAGGGGCAGAGTTTGCACTGCTTGCCCAGCACATGCAAGGTTCTAGGTTCTGTCTCCAGTTGTGTGTGTGGTGGGGTCTTTGTAGTAACCTGGGTGGCAAGGGTCACACTTGATCACACAGCACTCACTTCTTATAAAGCTATGTGAAAAGAACTAAAGATATGATCTGCAGGAGAGGGGAAAGGATATGCTTGTTTATGCAAATTTTTCAAAAGATGTGTTTACTTCCAAACAATACTGACAAAAAATATTTACAGAAACCGACTTAGCACTAAAATGTCAATCCCACAGGCCTGTTTTACCTAGTAAACTAGACTGCACCTCTCTGAAGATGCTTTGGAAGTCCCAGAATTTCTAGAAAATGCAGGTGATTCTTGCTTACAAACTTAATAGCCATTTTAGGGGGCCATTTTCCTTGTAAAGTCCTGTAAGACCAGGCTATAAATCACCAGAGTCCGGTAGCCGACTCATTTGTTTGTCTGTTTTCTTCTGGATCTTAAGAGGCTGAGTTGGTTTACGATGTGGCTAAGACTGGGTGTGCTCGTGATTTCCATCTCCTGTCAAGGTTTGATCAACTCCATTTTAAAGCAAAAATGCCAGTTGAAAAGTAAGGTTCATATGATTAACCCCAAAAGGTATGAAGACTACAATCTATTCCTCACTATAGAAAATGCAGGGTACACTGAGGCATAGTGTTTTTGTTTTTAGCATGAGCAAAACAAAATAAATGCTGGTGTTAAAAATCAGGGTGGTTTATAAAGCTGGGGTGAAGTCACTTGATAGAGAGCTTGGTGCCTCTGATATAACAAATAAATATTTAAAAGATTGAATAAATTAACAGATCAAAGACAAAAATTTCAAGCTCTAACATCTTTTTGTAAACAAATATTCCCATTATAACATCAGCATGAATGATTTTCTGTCTAAACGGAATCTTCTTGAGCCTTAGACAACTTTTAACTATTAGGAAGTTACCACAGAAATGCTGGCTCATCTGCTGTGAAGTGGAACTGGGTCTCCTCACACATGATTTCACTTTGCATACCCCTGAACTAGAATGCAAAGGGCACAACTTCAAGGCCTTATACCATGCAGTAAGTACAGGCAAGATCTGGACACAGCTCAGGCCATCATACATATCACCTTCATAAAAGAAGATTTGGGTACACTGCATAAAACATGCCACAGCAGTAATTAAAAACAAAGGTGAAAGCCAACCCCGAGGAAGTGAAGGGAAGCTGTCAGTCACAGCCTCTACGGTTGCAGGGCAGCAATTTTCCTTTAATCGTGGTCAGTTTATTAACGGAGGGAGGAGAAAAGACAGAAACTATGGGAAAGGCACACCATCTGCTCACTCCAGATGCAACTGCACATGCCTGCCACAGCAAAGCCTTTGACCAGAACCCAACATGTAAGAGCTAATCCCCCTGAAATCGCCAACAAAGGTATTTAGACATACTGCAACACAGATACATGCAATGCCTAACTCATGATTTGGAGACCTTTATAATACCAATCAAGACTTACCAGTGTATACACAGTAATTAAAGGGAACATTACTACAGCATCGGAGAAAAATGGGGCTGGATTTCTATGAGCTTTATTCACCTCTTCCTTAAATAAAATTGGGATGTAGACATCACTTTCCTTGAATAGCAATAACACTGCAGTCAAATCATGCAATTTTTCAAAGGCTTTGGAAGATGAGCCTTTAACACCACACCTTCTAAGTACTGAGTGCTTCTTATAGGAAAAGGGTCAGAAACAAACATTCTTACCTTGAAATTGTGAACCTTTTCATATTTTGGAATTTGTTCATTTTCTTTCAGAGTCGCTCTTCTAACAAGTGATGTCAACTGCGAATAAGCAAAGAGTTTCAGAGGTTGCCAGATCGTCACGGACGACTTTTGAGAACCCAGTTTCATTCCCAATGCTGCTATCAATAAACCTTGCTGACGGCCCTCTTGTTTTGGTTTGTGAACCGTAGCTCTGTTAGTTTTCCTCCCCGACCAAGACTCTTTGGATGGCATTTTGGAATTCAAAGGAAGGAAAAAACAAAACAACAACAACAACAAAATAAAACCTTGTAGCAAGCAGCCTGCGACTGTCGGAGAACTCTACTCAGCTAACACATGAGCATTGCTGCAGCCAGTTCAAAATCCTAACCTAGAGAGCCAAGGCCACACCACACGCCAGAGCATGGGGAGGTGCGGGAGGGTGATGAAGCACTTCTTCACAAGGCCGATTAACACGCAAATTCTCTCTTCCTTTTTTTAAAACAGGGCTCTATATTTAAGCTTCTGGAAACTTAAGAGTCTGGAGAAGAAATCAGTCTGTGCTACCATACAGAACCTGCAGTATCTCTCTCTGGGAGTCCTTTAAAAAGCCAGACAACTGTGACAAACGGAACATCGCTGGAAGCTTTCTTCTCTGCTCAGTACATCAATGTCCATTCTGAATGAGAGATGCCTACATACAGCCTGCAGTCAGTCGCTAGCAACAGACACCCGGAGAACTCACTTGCAGGAGGGGGTGGAGAGGGAGGGATTTGCAGGAGGAAGCACAAGACTGGTTACAGTAAGAGAGGAGACAGCCAATGAAAACCCAGTAACAGTATTTAAGTACTGTGTTCCTCAACTCACTGTTTCCCCCCTCCTCTCCTGCAAGATTTTTCTTGCTGGCTCAAGGAAAGAAAAAAAAATTATGTAGGAAGGTAATGAGTCATCATTAAAGGCAGAGGAAAAATAGCACACAGCACCAGGTTTTCATTTAAGAACAAAACCAAACAAACAAAAACTCTGCTGCCAGGTAAACTGTGAAAGGCCAGCCCATGTCTTTCTTTGTGCGTCACGTGGGACATGAGCTGCTCTGAGATGAATTGAGCCTTCTTATTTGTGCATTGTGATGGCTGGCTAACTAAAATCTACTTTTATTAAAGATGAACAAAACGGCTACATATTTTGATGAGAAAGAAAGGAATTTAAGTGTTGCATTTCCCCCAGAATAGAAAGCATGTATGTGGCACTGCTTATATCCTCGAGAGTAGCTTTGTCTGCACTCTGTGTATTAAGTTGGAGATCTACACAATAACACCAATATGCTAGTTTTCTAGCTCAACAGTCTGAACTCTGTTCAGAGTTTGAGGTCAGAGGAAGGGAGGTAAGAATGATCCCTCAGTTGCACAGAGCCCAGGGGCAGTGTGGCTGTGCTTACCAGACCCTGGTACATTTGAAAATAGGGGCTGCTAGCTGAGACTCCAACCCAGTTCTACTCACTCAAGAGCAATGACTACAGTTCCTTAAGGATTCGGAGAAATTCAGTCTGTTGCCCCCTTCAGGACATGAAATCATTATATAGCCCTGGCTATCCTAGAACTCACTGTATAGACCAACCTAACCTTCAGTTTACTGAGATCTGCCTGTCTCTGCCTCCCAAGTGCTGGGACGAATAGTGTGCACCATCATACCCAGGTTCAGGCTTTCCCATTTGGCTCTTTAACCATCTCTCATCTATTTCCTTGTGCTGGCTATATAATGACTCTTACAATAAATTTGAAGTCTTGTATTTAAACTAATTGGGGGCTGGAGGCTGTAGCTTAGCAGTAGAAGCATGTGTTTGGACTGTACAAGGGCTTGGGTTTGAGCTTTAGACTCAAACCAAACCAAAGCAGAAATTCAATCAGCTTAACCACTAAATGCATAATACCTCATAAAACATAGGAGGTATTCCACCAAAAATTCTAATTTAATTAATATATGAGACATCCTGAAATTATATTAAGACACTGGAAGCAATAACTGGTGTGTGCCTGTGTGCACCTGTAAAGGGAAAGACCAACGCTGGCGGTTGTGGTTGGTAAGGTCTAGCACCTTCTTTTTCTGAGATAGTGTCACCCACTGAAGCTCAATGATTTGGCCAAGGAGCTGAATGAGGGCCAGGGCTCTGCCTGTCTCTATCCTTTGCCCAGACACTGCCACACTATGGTTCTATGTGGGTGCTGGGACCCAAACTCAGGTTCTCACATTTGCACAGAAAGTACTCCTGTTCCATCTCTCCCCCATGACTGAGGGCCAATTATCTTTATTTTCTTGAGTCTACACACAGTTACTTTAATTATTTTTTTATGGTAATGAAAACGTAATCCAGGGCCTCAGGCATGCTAGTCAACCACACTAGATCCTTTGTAGTAAAAGAAAATTTAAGCAAATGACAAAGGGAGACAGTAACATTTACTCAAATGCATGGCTCAGTTTTACAAATTCAGGCTTAGATGATTGATAGATTATAAAATGATACTACTGAGAGGAGACACACTGGAAAATGCTTTCCTGCCTAACAAATGAGCCTTCGGCTCAGGCCTAGACTGTCCTGTGACGACAGGAAACATAAGGGCAACAAGTCCTTGGTTAAGTTCAGCTGAAAGTCATGTTAACCCAGTCCTCAGTAGGCATCAGATTAAAAAAAAATTAGACCCCAAAGGCACACATAACGGTATTTAATTTTTCAACAATGTATAAAGCAAGGTTCCTAGGTTAAAGAAAACAATTACAAGTGTAATCTGAATGATGGTTTTGTTTTTCTTAAATATTTTTGTCGAGTTCCTATTATGTTCATATTAACCCTCGTGTTTCAGCTAAAATAACTGAAATTCAACTCTGCACAAAAAGAGTAGACTTGCCCAGAAAAATGAATGGCCAGGTAAGTAAATATTTTGTCTAGAGATAAAGTTTATTAAAGACTCAGCAGAGTTCTATAGTTTTTCTTAATTTTTCTATTAATCAAGACATGCTAAGTTAATTACAGCTTGGGCAGCAACTAGGCCTTGAAGGAGATAGAAATCAAAACTAAAGGATCACTGTATGCATGCATGCATGTATGTATGTATGTATGTATGTAGCATGTATACCAAATAGCTATACCAAATAACTGCCAAAGGTTTGGCCAGTACTGAACCTGCAACACGAGAACAATCACGCTACTTTTGTGTTACTTTTGGGGACCAGTTTCAAGTGCAAACTCTGAGACTCTGAACCACTGTAAATGTTCTGATGTTGTAGACAAGCGTCTATCATTACGCTTCCATGTATCTGGCCATGTATTGTTAATTATGGCTATAATTTGTCAGTGAGTACTTATGTACCAGGCACTGTGCTGGTTACATATCTAATCTCATGAATCCTCAGATAAACCTTGTAAGGCATACATATATTATCCTTATTTTGAATTTCAGAGAACTGAAACCCACAGAAACTAAATCCCCAAGGTTGAATAGACACGTGGAAGCAGAACTGGGATCCTAACCAGGAAGGTATATCCACACAGTTGAGAGAAGAAGAGGAACTCATTTTCTGAGAGGGCTATTTCTTCTCTCCTGGTGGTTCATCTGCCTCCAGTTTCAAAGGCTGATAACAGACTATGAGAGAGAGAGAGAGAGAGAGAGAGAGAGAGAGAGAGAGAGAGGACCAATGAAGAAAAGGAAGAGGAATTGATGGTTCCTCAAGTTCAATTCTCAGTCCCATGGAGTAGCAGATGCTCCTCAAAGCTCAACCCAAACACTCCTTTTTCCAGGAAGCTTTGGAAAATTTAAACATATTAGGTGTGACCTTACTCATCTGTAAACCCAGGAGTCCTTCACTTGTTTATTAATTATAAGATATATCACAGTCACCCCGTGAACTATAATAACAACCAGCCTGGCAAGACAGGCCCATGATTTCAGCAACAGCATGAAGGGTATGGGGCAAACCAACTGCTTCTGGCTGAATTTAAATGAGATAACACGTGAGAAGAATTTGTCATGATTTTGAGCCAAGAAGTAACTAATAAGTAAGTTTGCCCTTCTTTCCCTTGTATTCAAGGGTCTATGTTTCTGAGATTAGGGCTAGTATACTATGTGACTATGGATGAATTAAAAACCCAAGGCCAAAGGCTGGAGAGAGATGACATGAGGTGCTTTGGGGATAGAATTCTAATTTAACATGTATGTCAGACCCATGGTGTATACAGCTGAGTGCTGGGATTAAAGGCATGCACCACTACCGCCCAGCTCTCACAGTATGTTTTTAACACAAATTCTTAACAGGTTAGTACTCATCCTAGATCATTTGTCTTCAGCACATTATGTCACTAGGCACTTAGTACTGCTATATGTAGATTGTGCTGTCTATTAGAGTCAATGTTAACCAAAATTTCCAAGTGGACTTTAAGTCAAACATTAGAGACTTCTAGATTAGGATTTCTAAATTCCTTACGTCATGTTCATATTAATAAATATTTATGTTTCATAGGAAACCTCCATCTGCTGGGTTGCTAAATGTTTCAGTCACCGCAAGAATCAGATTATAACTTCTAACTCGTTCTTCATCACAGTTCCTATTGCAGTAACCTAATATCGATCAAAACTATACTATCTAAGCAGATAAGGTATGTCATGCTGGGCCAGTTAGGGAGCACGTCAGAGTAGAGACGGCATGGGGCAGTGGGGATACTAGTGCAGTGTACTTCATCTGGCAATGGTAACAGAGGTCTGAAGGCACGCGACTTCACTTCCTTAAACACCAATACACAAAGAAGGGTCCTCAGGAACATGGTTCAGACATGACCACTGTCCACTGCACCACCTGCTGTAAACTACTCTATGCCGTGACTCTACTATGTGCATGCTTTACAGCAAGATGACGATATTTAAGGAATACAGCTAGATGTGGGGAGACTCAGACCACTGTGGGTGGTGACATCCCTGAGCAGGTGGTCCTGGGTGGTATAAGAGAGTGGAGTAGGCAAGCCAGTAAACAACCCCATCATGTGTGCATCAGTTACTGCCTCCAGGTTCCTGCCCTGATCTTGACCTGACTTTCCCGGATGGATTATAAACCTTAAGATGAAATACCATCCCCCAAAGAAATAAAATTAGTTTCCTTTTGGGTACTTCCTGAAAAAACTTTTTATATCACATCCATAATATTTCAACTTATGAAATTCCTTCCAGTTCAAAGGTTTCTAATAAATTAGAGAAAACTTTAGCAATCTCTAATTTTGCTGCTGCCCTTTCTGCCCGAGACAGTCATTAGACTGAGTATGTGGTCTTTCTTGAAAATCAATGCTTAATAGGGCTGGAAGCATAAGGATGAGGCCTGCAAATGAATGGTATATTAAGAGAAGGGACTGAGAGGTGACTCAGCAGCTCAGAGTACTGGTTGCTCTTCCAGAGAACCTGGGTTGAATTCTTGGTACCTACATGGCAGTTCACAACTGTCTGTAACTGCAGTCCAGGGGATCTGACACCCTTACACAGACATGCTGCAGGAAAACCACCAACACACATATAGTAAAAATAAATAACTCATCAAAAAATTTAAGAATACACACACACACACACACACACACACACACACACACACTCAGCCTGAAATGACAGACCCTTGAGAGGCAAAAGAAAAGAAGAAAGTCGGATTTACCTTCTCTTAGTTCTATTTTGTTACCATAAAGCACCTACTCACTGGTGTCATCCTCTACAGAGGACAGGACTGTAACTGGAGATCTGAAGCTAAACTGGCCAATGCTATGATGGTCACCTGGCCAGATGGGACCAGGGCTTCACTATCGTCGCCAAGAAATGCCCTTCCCAGCAAAGGCTGGTGAACAGGAATGAGCACGCAGAAGGTGCAGGGGGCCTTTCTCAACACCCAGAATATTTTAATGCAAAGGTGTTCTCAATCATCACTCCATAACAACGCTGCTCTAG